AAGTTGTCATTGTAAGAATGATTAGGACCGTTAAGTATTTCAACAAAAGGGCTTAACCAAATTAAATGTGAACAAACTCGATTGCACGTGAGCTGCTATAAAACATTTCAGACCTATTATTATATAAGTTTCATGTTATAATTGAATAGTGCCATAGAGTACGAATCTGCTTAGTATCTTCATCTTCTATCTAGAACATGAGTTAGAAGGAGCTTGGGAAGCACTGAGGTTTAGGAATTTGTTTGTTATTCAATGGTTCGTAAATGAGGGTCATCGATTCTTCTGGCAGTATAAACTAAATAATTGATAATCTAACGGCCTAATCACATGAGCTCTGATGTAATCCAAATGATTTTTTGCTTTTTCCGTTATATCATTCTGGTCATGGTGTGATGTATGCTACTTATATCGACATGAATAGTGTATAACAATAGTCAGGATTAGAATGTCTGGAATCAGATGATTGAGAAGAAAAGAACGGGACCAAAAAGCAATAAGTATGACAATGCAGGAACAATAAAGTCGGAGACGATTCACTGATATTTCACAAAAGGAACAGTCACGTTTGAGACAATCAATGAACATTTTGCAAATGAACTATTTACTGTATGATTCTCAGATTTTACTAAGATATGCTGTAATGTTGTGTTCAAATACATTCAATTGTCACAATTGATTGATCACTGGGTGCCGATCAATGTCATGCGTGTCTAATGCTTATTATTAGTGCAGGTCGAATGCTGGGTGACACGAGATCGAATCCGTCAGGGAGCATTAGTTCCCGCAAGACTACTGGTACACCTTGCTGACGAGTGCCAAGCAGCAAGAAACCCGGGTCCAGGGTTTTCTGTCGACTACCTCCAACCACTATCTAACATTCAATTGTCCCCCAATTGTGTTCTCATTCACTACAATGGTAAAAAGTATTTCTTTTCAGAAGACACAATTATATTCCAATCATAATTTTATTACTGAATTCATTATGAAACCTACTTGTATTTGTATCATTCTCATTTGTTGTTATTAACTTACTGTTTGTTTCAGAAAAACATGTACCACGGAAACTATGACTTTAGACTGATTTCTAACAAGATACAAAAATTCTAATAAACTGATAGTCAATTTAGAATTTCAATGGTATGATTTATTGATGATTTATGTGGCCCATTGATTAGTCATGTTACCAAATCAATTGATGGTTTATGAAATCTGGTCATATATACAAGTTTATAATGATTAACATCGAACATTTATTTATTCACTTAGTACATTAAAACATTTTGGATTGTAAAGAATAATTCTAACTGTAGAATATAATTACAGTAAATATGATTGTTAGATCATGCTGAGAATAAACTATGTTGTAAGTGGAAATTGGCTTGGAACATTCTACTAATATCTATAAATATACCGTAATTGTAGAGCTACTATGCTGGTTAAAGTATCCAACTCTCAATCACTCAGTTACATGTTCATATCAAATCATCTACTCAAATTATATTAGGTGACTGGAAAGTATATCTAATTCTTACACAAGAATTATGGCTTAAAGACAGATATACAAATCAGTGATACCATAAATGGATAACTATGATGATTAGGAGTACTTGAATTATAGTACGAAATAAGAATCCCAGAAATAACGTAATCGGATCAAGAAGTACTAGATAACCACAAACGAATGTACTGTATTCAGAATTCGAAATCAAGCATTCAACAAGTACAAAGGAATCATTAGTTCATACAAACACTACATCCGCCACAGCTTAAATTAGAGTCTAAGTGTCTGTAATCGATTGTACGACTTCTTAAGTTCATCCTGTGTCTGTCCGACATTGTATTGGATAAAAACTCTGTATTATCTAGAATATGCTCATTAGTATTGAAATTAACAACCGAAATCGGAACACACTCACCTGGGTCCTGGGATTGTATACAATCGCCGTGTCGGTTGTGTACCGAAATCACTATCTAGAATTTAAAGCACAGATTTCCCAACACTATCCTCCCCTACGAAATAATGTTGGATCTTTATATCTCCAAGTTATGAATGATGTGGCTTCATTTAAAACATATTTCCCACATTGACTAGATTAAGCATTAGAAGTAACTTTGTGACAAGGATAAACAGCAGTTGATATTAAATCATCCGAATTGTAAACAAACTCGAGCTCACTTAGTACTTGTGCTTCGCACTGAACAAGTTTCCCACAAGCAACAAATGCATTATCAGGACAAATAGTATTTGATAGAACATCAAGATTTGATTCTCCTGAGATAGTTTACTCGCATTTATTAAGAATGTCATTGCAGAGTAAAAGATCATTAGAAAAATCAGCATCTATCAAAACTACATCAGGTTTTCTATCATGACTAGATTCATTCAACATATTTTCCTCAGATTTGCAAGGAATTTCGTCAGAAATAAGTGAATCATTAGGAAAAACCAGATCTGGTATGATAACATGAGAAATCTGATAAGTTGATTGATTAGAATCTGTTGTCTCACAGGAATTCTGAGTTTCATTTAACTCCGAACTGCTATATGACTCTACACTGTCTTTTGAAATCGTTGATAAAGATAAATGATCATTATAAATACTCAACTTAATAGAATCAGAATTACAAGACTTAATATTCGTTGCAGCAAGATGAACAGTAGTATTACAAACTGACTGAATATGTCCAACATCACCACATTTAAAGCATTTAGAATCACGAAATTTACATGAATTAAAAGAGTGGAACTTGCCACAGGACAAACATTGACCAAACTTATGCCCATCTTCGTGAACTGCATCGCAACTCCTCAATGAATTATCTGCATAACTTTGAGTATGAACTGGGTTGGGGTGACGTAATGTAGTGGAATTTTTTGTATCCCCATGAATCATTTTACGAAATCTTTCTCCTTTACCACATTCGAAATTTGTATACTTAACATAGTCTAGCAGTAGATCCTTGAGAGCTGTATAAGGAAGCGAAATGGGCTTTTCCGGTAAAGCCAGAGTTTTTAATAAGCTATATGCTTCTTTTCCGATGAACGTGAGGAAGTGTGCTACAATATTAACATCCTCATCATCTTCCTTAGTCATAGTCGAAATTTCGAACCTCTCAAAGTAATCTTCAAAAGCATCAAAATCTGAATGTACATCCAACACTTCCATCACAGGCTCAATCGCGACGCCAATGTGATGATTAAAAGTATTTGAATTATAGTATAAACTAAGAATCACAGAAATAACGCAATTAGATCAAGAAGTACTAGATAAGCACGAACGGATGTATTGTATTTGGAGTTCGAAATCAAGCATTCAAGAAGTACAAATGAATCATTAGTTCATTCAAACACCACAATAACACATCTAGTCAATGGTTAAATTAATTCACAATCATTTATCAGATAATATAGGTAAGGTTGAAGTTGTCACTTATAATGAAAACCAAGTATACAATTTGAAGGATCTACAAAAGGATATTGAAGAACAATCTAGTCAAAATCTCACTATCCTATATAATATACCCCCCTTTTATCTACAAAGTTACTACAACACTTAGTGAATATGTTCAAAAGTGAATACAATAACAATATTTTCACATTTTTGATTGTTAAGTTATCAACCCTTCCCCCAAAAAGAATCAAACCAATAGGAGATAAAAACCAAAATAAAGAAGTAAACAATAACAGGTTTATGGTCAACAATAACTAATCAATATAGAGGTCTACAGGATAAGCCATATGCCATATATATATATGGAGAAATTCGAACATTTTACATCCACCTGAAGTTTGAGCTAATGATGTCGTTTATAAGAACGTTGAAAGCTCCACAAATCAAAACATTCAACTCAGAGAACACAAAAATTCCATCAATATCACCAAAAACATTAAAAACTACCTGGTCTTTTAAATGAATAGACATTAAAATATGATAATCGGAGAAGGGTTTTGTGGATATTATAACAATTTAATAATTTAATTCATAAGTCAGTTGAAGTTAGACCACCATAAAAAGCCTGGACGGCTGTTGGATACTGACTGGCTCAGTAGTCTAGAGGTTAAACATTACTGCGAAACCGATAGTTGAAGGACATCCAGCTGACGAGTCCCAAATAGGACGAAACGCGCGTCCTGGATTCCACTGCTGGCCACAATTCATCATTACTTCCAAAAAGTTTGTGAATTAAGGCAATATCGAGGCATACCCACAGTATGCACATATACCAATAACAGATTGATCAATTGCAGTCTTAAACCTCAATGGGAAGATACAAGCCAAACAATACCAAGTGAACGATAGATCCTGGGTTTGGATCTCACGGGTCAAGATTGTGAATGTACACTAATGAGGAGTCCTATACTGGGATGAAACAGTCGTCCAATGCTTCCAGGTTCTCCATGGTGGTCTAGTTTCAACTGACTCATAAATTCAACTATTAACATAAACTATTAATTTGTCTGACAAAAGAAATACATTCTATCCACAAGTTCATTTATAGATTTATACATAAATATATTACTGAATTCATGTGATTTTGGCATAGACAATAGACTATAATTGAATGTCTGCCAATCATTTAATAATAAATATATAAAAAGTAATTTATTTATAAATTACACAATTTGATCATAAAAATTGCACTAAATTATAGATTATATGTATTTTACTACTTGTGACAGTCATTTAAGTAGTAGTAATAATAGTGATAATTAATAGGCCTAAACCATACTTCCACTGTCAATCCATATATATATATATATATATACACTGTGTTTACAAACTTGTTTGTACAAACATATCTATACTTCACCATTTCAAATGAAAACCGGATGTACCACTTGAACATTCAATTATTCACTTGGAATCATAATGAACCTTGAGAGATAAATATATTTAATATCTATATACCTATACACATATGTATACAATAAATGTGTGTGCTCATATAGAATTGTAAACTTTTCAAATAGGGTGAATTCATTAAGCATCTATCATCTTTGCGGTAAGTGTATACACATAACTATTCGCATACCATTGCATATACGTATATAATATCCAAGAAACACGAGGAACTATTTATCGCTCCTTTAAAGTTTCCCGATCACAAAATGACTGATCATTATCATTATCATCATTACAATTGCTTTTATTCATTGTTCATTATTCTGTATTGCTTTTTATGTATTAAATTCATTCAAACAATTGATAGAACAGAATTAAATGAATTAAATATATATGATCCAATGAAATGTCGTTCTGGAAATTATCGTGGCAAAGTGAATATAGCATTTGATGGAACAGAATGTTTAGATTGGATAGATCATAAATCATTTTATAAACCATATTGGTCTGATGATGAAGCTAGAAAACATAAAAATTATTGTCGTAATCCAGGAAATGATTCTTCTGGTCCATGGTGTGTTGTTGGTATAGGAAGATTTAAATATTGTGATGTACCAAGATGTGGTTAGTGATTTGTTATACTTTTGTTTTTCTTTCAAAATAAATAAAAAAATATCTAGATCCCTATGTTTATGCTGATAAGTTTCCTTAGTATTATGAATATATGGAACCATATTTCTGTATATATAATGATGTAGACAATAAGGAGAAGCTTTTGTTAACCCGTTTTCGAAGTGTTATTTGAATTCAACAGTTCAAATGTTCATGTTTAACATGGAAGTTCTTTATTTTAGGGGGGGGGGTGATATAGGATTTCATCAACTAGATAGCTATTAAATTTGACATTCATCTCGATGTATTTTTTTCCTGAGATAGTCGTTAATGAAAATGTTCAAATAACTATTGTAGTGAGACTATAATTTATGGACGACATATGAGAGACACTAAAGTGACCTTCAGGGTGTCCACCTAATAACTAGGATCAAATGAGGGTTATAAATTGAAATTATGATTTACAGTTGATGGTTAAGAGTTAGGAATTAGATTTACGGTTTTCATCACAAATCGACATAAGCTTGTAGTGTTAAGCCCATATACCTTATTCTGGTTTTCGGACAAGCCAGTCTACTCATTCTACTGGAGTCATATTTTCACCTTGTTAATTATCCGCTTTTCAATCTTCACTGTTTTATATGAGCGTATAAATGTGTGTACACATCTTATCCTATTCATCACATATCTGTAACTTATTTTTGTGTGACTATAAATATTGACTAACGCTTGACTAAATGGAATTGGCTTACCCGCCATCTCCACTGCGCGTCGTTCTATTTCGTCCTATTCCATTCGCTTTGTATAAAAAGCATTTGTATTCAAAGGTTCATTCTCGTTATTTGACTTATTTAATTCCGATATACACTGAAGGCGGATTAAGTCGATAGAGGCATACGAGGATAGGCGACATATACAAATCAATAACAATCATTCATGCGATCTACTTGGTGTCAGATTCTGGACCACTAAAATGGAGAGCCATTTCGACAACATCGTCCGATCTAAATGACGATTAAATAACGGGTCCCACAAAAAGCTATAATGCCAAAACTCTATTTAGCCAAATGAATGAGTGAATTTCGCGCCAAAATCCGAGACCTGATATCTTATACGTGATTGGTTCATTTATAAATTATAGTCTTTCCGTATAATTCATTTTTACAACTGGTCACGACCCAAAGATCTCACATCAATTGTTGAACTATTAAAATTACTGGGTTATTTGTTCAATGACATATATTTTTAGCTTCAATTAATTTAAGATTTATAGTAAGATGATCATCTAATGGAATTTGTAACAATTGTATCTACTGCTGAAGATCTTCATACTTGAACGAATCAACTATCTAATGCTTTCTGCCTTTTAATGAGATCCTAAATAAGATCAATCTATGACTATGTATTTCTATACTAGACAAACATGAGCTGTAGATAAATAAAGTAGGAAATATCAAAATCTGAATAGAAGGTTTTTGAGTAATCAATGAAATTTTGAAGATCTTCAAGAACTATGTATACATAATATTGACTAATTCTTACTTTGATCATTTACTAAATTTATGGAACAAAATACAATTATCCTTCATATTTGTAACTAAGTTTGAACTCAATAATTCACAAACATTCTAGGAATTTCATAGTTGAATTCATGAGTCAATTGAAGCTCAGCCGTCATGGAAAACCTGGAAGTACTGGATGGCCGTTTCATCTTAGTATGGGACTCCTCAGCAATGCACATCCATGATTTTACAACTTATGATTCGAACCCAGGATCTATCGGTTTCGCGCGCAAACGCTCAACCTCTAAACCACTGAGCCAGCCGGCATCCAACTGTATTAATGTTTAACTCCAACCAGGAAATCGAAACATCTACCTAGAAACATATTACTGATGTTGAAAGAAATTTGCTTAATTTAGAATGTTAACCTTTATGAACCGATATCACATGTAGTGTCAATTTATTTATAAATGATGTTAAATTTCATTTTTGTCCGTTTTTGAATTTATGACTGAATTGAAATTAATTTTATTTCGACACTCGCCGAAAATCAGGAAGCGATGGAAAGTTGTAGCTTCCCAGTATGGGACAAATTAACGGTGGAAAGTTACTATTTCTTCAAGGATTTGACCCAGCACCTTCTAGTTGAATAACTAGAGCTTAATACTGGCCTAATATCTACATTTTAGACATTATGAATAAAAGTCAGTTAATCATCAGAAGAATATTGTAAATGACACTGAGTACCGGTCGATGATGAACTGGTATACTCAGTTGAATCCTTAAAGCAATTATAAAAAGTCAATACTGATAATGTGGGTAAGACTATGAATGAGGTTTTAAAAGGTCTTCATTTAAAGTCGTCAAAAAATGACAGTTTTCCTAACTTAACAACTGGAAATTAACGATCTGTCATATAGGACAGTAGAAAAGTCATTGACCAAAATAAAAACCTTAAAAATTTGATACATTTAAGTAAGTCATACATTAGAAAAACATTCTCTGTGTATGAATCAATAATGTACAGACTGATAGGGTAAGGAATGAAATTCATGCATTTTCAAAAAAGTACCTTTTGATTGAGATCATGAATTGATTAATGTTAGACCATCGTTGAAAACCTGGAAGCAGTGGACGGCTGTTTCGTCCAAGTATGGGATAGGTACCCACCAAAGACAATGGAAGATGGTCGCACAAATTCGTGGATTGATTGAAGTTAAACATTAACACGACTGAATGCCGACCCAGTGGTCTAGAGGTCGAGTGCCGGCGCAAGACCGAAGGTCCTAGTTTCGAATTATTTGTGGGGGGTCGTGAATTCGCACTGCTGAGGAGTCCCACAGTAGGACAAAACGGCCGTCCGGTGCTTACAGGTTCGTCCTATCTACTCTCAACGTCTATTCCGAATCTCTTCTTCAATTGCAAAGATGATCGATCTGGTTCTCTGTAGAGTGGTCTGGTGAGACTCATGTAGCTTTGTGTATGCGTTTGTGTGAGAATATTGTACCGCCTATAATCATTTTGTTGAATGGACATAAATTTGCAAATCTCTCGTTATTTTCGTCCCTTTCTTCCAGTTCATTTCGTCCCATGATATCTTCATATCCGGTGTTTTCCATTCCGACTTTGGCGTTTAGTTTTTCCAGCACAATAGTTATGGTCGACTGCAGCCACTCGTAAAACTGATCTTTATCGTCTTTATTGCTATCATTGGTTGATGCATAACACTGTATAATATTCATTGTGTTTCCCTCCTTTTTCGTTTTGAAGGATACCTTGATGATCCTGCATCTGTGAGATTCCCATCGCATAAGTGCATTATATGCTTCTTTAGACAGATTTAGAGCAACTTCTTGAATGTGTGAAGCATTTTCTTCTTCGTGACCAGAGTACAGCAGCATCTCTCCAGAATCTGTCCTTTTCTGTTCAGCTTGGATGCAAAGGATTTCACTTATTCCAAGCACCGTCAAGTTGCATCTCCTCACTTTCATAACTATTTGACTGGTCCTCCCGGTCACCCACATTGTCCGAACGTCCCATGTACCTACTAACATTATCCACAACTTGTACAGATCATGTTCGACATATATTGCTTAACTTCGAACAATTATATCTATTTCTAAGTGTTACTTTAAGGTTGTAGTATAGTGTTAATTAGTATTACCTATAAATTCATGGATTCCGGAATAGGTTTAAACGTTTAAGGCAAAATATTATGAGTTACTCAAGCCAATCTATTATAAAAAACCTGGAAGCACTGGACGGTCGTTTCGTCCTAGTATGGGACTCCTTAGAAGTGCGCATCCACGATCCCGCACTGCTGAGGAATCCCATACTAGAACGAAATGGCCTTCCAGTGCTTCCAGGTTTTCCATGATGGTCTAGCTTCAACTGACTCATGATTTCAATCAAAAACTTAACAATCTCCACAACACCTAAACTGCCAATCAATTATAGTCTAAATTTATAAATTATGCCTAGTAGTTATTTTTATTATCATCTAACGGAATGAACTTAAATAACCATTGAAAGTCTTGAAGCACTGAACATCTATTTCGTTCTAGGGATGCTTTCAGCTTTCCAATGGTTGTCTTACTTAAATCAGTTTATGATCCCTGAAAATATCTTATTGATTACTAAGTAGGTATCAATTAAAAGAGTAATTCTACGTGATCTATTATTTCCTTAGTTAAAATTGTTATCAAAAATAGGCTTTATTACGCATTAAGTTTAAAATATCTTCTAAGTCAAAGCTAAAAAAGCTCCTTAACATCTCCTTCATTTCTGATTGTTCAACTCATAAATAGCATTATCACATTTGATGAGTTATATCTGATTATCCATAACAGTCTATTTGTTAATCCCTAGTCTATAGGGCTTATATTCAAGTTACTTCAGTTTCATGAATATCACGAGGGACATTCTAAAGTGTTGAAGATGATGTTTAAAGAATAAAAGCGTTGGCTTATTGAGAAATAAAAGACAATCAAACCGTGTTCTTTATTGTTAACTGTATATTTACTCTTCAAATGAAAAGAAATAACAGGTTACATTTGAAGACAAATAAAAACATGTTGTGTTGTGCTGATAAACAAGCTTACTATTCTTGAGCCTAAACAAGATAATTAGTAAAAAGAATAAGAATGAAAATATAGTTCTATTGGTCAATCGGATCCCGAAATAACTCTATATCCATTTATATACATATAATGTATTTCCTTCCTTAGAAAAGTGAGCCACATTTTGGCCTGTCACATGGACCTACCATCTGGCTGATGCTTGGTTGACCCATTGTTTTAAAATGTAAACGTAACATTGCTGGCCAGGTTAGAATAAAAAAACTTAACTGATTTTCAGCCATGAAGTTCTTCATCAGTCAATGATATACAATATAGCCATTGGCATCTATCTGCATCGGCCCAAGTTGCCACATTTTACAGTAGTACATTAGGGCTCAACCACTTACTAAGGTATGGGACACCTCATGGTACATAAACCATCGACGAGGAATCTCCATCCAACTCTGATCTAAGCTCTTCTTTCCAGTTGTTTCCAGTTGATATTCATTCTTTCGATGTCTACCACCAATTACCAATGAAATGTGGTATTTGGTCCAACTCTCTTCCTTTTGCCTTCAGGATTCCAAGTTAGTGCTTGTCTCGTGATGTAATTTGACGATTTCCTCAACATGCGTCCTATCCACTCTCAACGTCTATTCCGAATCTCTTCTACAATTGGAAACTGGTCTGTTCTCTGTCACAGTAGTTTGTTGTTGATGGTATCCGGTTAACACACACTGAGTATCTTATGTAGATAATTGTTTACAAATACCTGTATTTTTTTGTATTAACTATAGAAGTCCTCCAAGTTTCAGATCCTTACAACAGAAACATTTTAACGTTAGTTTTAAGAACTCTGATTTTGATCTTGAATGTTAGTTCTGTATTAGGCTCTTATAAGGCTGCTGGTATATACGTTGAATGAATCTTTAACCAGTATTCATTTTAACAGCATCAGGGAAATGTCTTTTATGTTTGAAGGATTTCCTTCTTTGCGACCGAAAAACAACATAATCCCTACCAAGGCTAGTCCTTTCTGTCCAACTCGCGTTCAACGGGTTTCACTTATTTCAAGCGCAACCAGGCTGTATTCTGTCATTACCACCAACATTTGAATGACTTTTCTGATCTCTCACATTGTCCAGACATTCCATGTATCTAATTGTTGCTTTGATTGTCACAACGGGCATCAGCCTCATGATTTTTGAATAATCTCACCTCTTATCATGGGGCTTCATGACTTTTCTAAGTAAAGATCGTTCAACTCCCGAGGCAAAGTTTAAATTGTGAGGAAGATTTCTCCGCTTAATGTTTTTAGCAGGCCTTTTTAAGAGATGGGGTAGGTAACTTCATGACCAACCCTCCTCCTTTATCTCGGTTTGGGACCTGCAGTAACCCTCGAGGGTTTCCGGGGGCAAATAATAGGAATTATATGACAGTAATAATAATCCACAATATAGAAAAGAACTATACAATAAAAGGATTTACAATAAGGCGATTAATTTTAACGTCATTCTAAAGTTTTTAATAGTTTATTATGATCATCTAATAGGTACCAATCAGTAGGTCTAAACATTTACGTACAGCTCAGACTAATAGTGAATGAAATAATCTCAATCCGGTCACCATAAACCTTTTTTGTTGGATAAAAGTACTTTTACGTATTCATTTTTGGTATATTTATCAATCCAAATTTATTCTGAGGAAAATGCGATAACCCCCCCCCCCTATCACTAGATTACACTGTGATGAATTAGGATTAATTGAAGCCAAACTTTATATCTATTCTTCCTGGTGATATGTCCGACCGTTCAACCACGAAATTATGAATACCAGGCCATCATACAGTAATAACTCCTCGTCTTATTTTGATTGGAGAATTAAATCAATTAACCAATTAATTGATCAATTGTTAGATATATCTACAAGAATCAAACAAGTTTTATACCATTATATAAGTAGATTTCATGAATCAAATCACTGAGTCGATTTACTTAGATAACCATTAAAAAGCAGGAACCAATCAATTGTCTATTTCGTCCTTTCATGAGAATCAGCTACATTATCCTCTCAAGATCTTATCAAGAATCGAACTTAGGACCTTCATGGCTTACAGCAGGAGTGATATTTGTATCACACTTGAATTATTGAGTTGTTTTTTCAACAAAATACATAGACTAACTATTATACTCTTATAAGTTAATGTTGATGAGAAATATCAGTTTATTGAGTTTGTTCCCTTATTCAATTTTAGCTGAACATATTGGTTGTTATGAAGGGAATGGAGCAGATTATAATGGAGATCAAGATCAAACATCTGATGGACAAGTAAGCTGAAAATGATATTTCATACAACATTTGTTTTTGGGTTTACTAAAGGGTAATAACATTGGATATTTAACATTTTATAATATTCGAGTCACGTTTTTATTGGCAATATGTATCAACCAGTGATCTGGATTTAAAACATTAGTTACGAGCGCTGAAGGTTTTAGGTCAGATCTATGGTGAAGTTGTCCATGTTCAATAGTTAGAAGTTATATGCTAGAATAAAAAATCCGGTACTCAATGGTTCCTGGTTTTCAGTGGATATCTAATTAAATAAAGTCTGTATTTAGTGCAAAACTTAGAATGCTATGCGTCCAAATAATGAAATACTAAAGATTATATTAAACAGATGACAGAGAACTAATAAAATCCAGAAATATACGAATATCTGTAACAATTTAACAACATTCTATGAATGACTTTGAATTAGATTCTGAACAATCTTGGAATTTTCGCTGTCCTATAGGACTGGGACGTATTTACAATCGATTGATCACTAAGTAGTGACCTATTTCACGACTCATTGGTAATTCGATCGACTGTGAAGTCGGGTTATAAGAGATCAAATCCAACAGGGAGAAACAGTTCCCTCAAGATCACAGGTATACTTTACTGACGAGTGCCATATAGTATGAAACTTAAATTCAGGGTTTCCAGTCAGCTATCTCCAATCATCACCTTACATCTCAACATAGTGTACGCGATATCGAGTCAATTAAACTAGTAACCACATTGGAACGAGAAAGGACTTGACATACATGACAATGGTCACTACCCACTAATCAATAATTTTTAAACAATCAAGTTTGGTTTAATAAATATATCTCTGAGACATTAATTTCAATTAACAGCTTGTTTTATTATTCAGCTTCATTAACCCAACCTAGATGGGTCAAATTTAAACAACAAAATAATAATTGTAAGATGTCTACTCGAATTAGTTTAATTCAACTCCATAAAACACTGAATTCTTTACATTTATGTTTAACAAACAGCATTTTAATATCCAGTTAGGAGTTCATCTCGTTCACTGCAAAACGTGATTCGTACGTATCGACTCACTCAGTTGATTTGAATAATATTAGAAATAATACACACACACACACACAATCAATCTTGTTATCATTTAGCGAAACGCAAACTTTGAATATTTTCACATGTTCACAATCATGATCATTCCAACAATCTAGCTCTGAACCATAAGCGCTCATGATAACAGTTTATTCTTTAGACCAGGGAGTTAGCACCATTAGTTAATTTCATGATATAAACTATGAATCTTTAAAAATTCATTTGAAATTAAATAGGGATTGAGATATTTCTTATTTGTTAATGACACTATATATGTATACTATACGATCATTTCATTTGGAAATCTATAGCTTCAATAACAATCATCTTGATATACTGTAACCTTAGATCAATTCAAACTACAGTTTACCCATATCAATAATTTTCATATGAATCTAATCGATTATCTGTGTGAAATTTTGTTGCTGGGTAATATTATTTTTAAATATTTTGGCAATTTCACTGATTGGAATCATGAGTCAATTGAAGCTAGACCATCATGGAAAACCTGGAAGCACTGGACGGCTGTTTCGTCCTAGTATGGAACTCCTCAGCAGTATTCATCCCGCCTGGCGCGAGACTGATGGGTCCTGGGTTCGAATCTCC